TTATAGATGCTGCATTTGCCAGCTGGTTCCAGAAAGTTCAGATGAGAGGGATTATCAAGGCATTTCCCCCTCCCCTTTTTCATTCCTGATTTCTAGGGATGTGCCAGCTACTAATTAGTGTAAGGCACAGACAGCCTTCAGCTGCTCTGATTTATTACAGATTTACCTGAGCAGCCTCTCCAGACTGTGAAATCTCTGCAAACTTAAGGTTGGACTTCAGCTCTAATCTTGGAAACTTGGATCCTTCCTTCACACCCAAATCAGAGTAGAAGTATAGCTTGTTAAATAGAAGGTTACTGTCAACTGCAAAATGTGAATTAGAGCAACATTCAAGTCACCACTTGTTTCCCTGTAAGAGCCTAATCTCCCATGTCCTTGAGGCAAAGGGTTGCGTTCCTTCTGAAATACCATCTCCTCTGCCAGGTGCAACAGTAGCAAACTGGGGATAGAAGATTTCCAACAGCAAAAAGGCAGATTTATCCATGTGGACAATCTTGTCCAGACAGCCTGATGCTACTGTGATGTGACCTTGCTTACACATGCACTTTCCTTGCCCTCCTCCTTTCCCTCATAGATCCTGAGCACTACAATACCAAACTCACTATCAAAAGTCTTGTTCTGTAACAGCAGAGGAGGCAGCAAATGGCACGCAACAGAAACTTCAGCATGTCTAATTTTAGCGTCCCTCTATCTCTGACATAATAACTTCAAAGGCAGTGAAAAAGCTGCAGTTGACTCTCATTAATATCCATTACAGTTTCCCTATCAACTTCAATAGAAGGAGCTTCTATTAGGAAAAGCATACATCACTGAATTTGGACAAAATGCACGTAAGAGACAGAGTTGTGGCAAAGGTGGTGTTTTCAACAGTGCTATAGATGTACACAATGACTTCCTCAACCTCCATCCTATTTGCCAGGACTACAAAAACCCCCCAAAATAGCAGATCAGCAATGGGGAAAAAAAAAAAAAAAGGTAAAAGACAAGGAGGGAAATTCCTATGACTTATTGTGGTCAGTACTCACTGTGCAACTCCCATTTGGCCAGCTGCCTCTCCCTTAGAAGAACAAAAGCACAGCTACACAGGCAATGCTTGCTTTTTTAACAACTAAGTACCTCTTACCTGTGCCCACACATGGTGCAGTGCTTAGAGACCAACTGTCACATCCATATATGAGGAAGGAATGCAGCTGAAAACACTTCCCACCACACACACTTGTATTGCATCTCACCTAAGCTGGGAGGCATCATGTGACTAAAGCCTGCAGGGAATCTCAAAGGCCCAGACCTGCAGCCAATGAGGCACACAGAACAGAAAATAACCTTAACCACACAACTAAAAGGAGAAGCACAGGACTTGAGAAGTTTTGAAGGAGTTTGTCACTATCGTGACAATATGACAATATGACTTTTACCACTAAGCAGCTTTCCAGTCGTAAGACCTGAAAATAATTAACTAAATATAACCTGATGTGAAGGTATGGTCAAGCTTGAACGTGCCTTAAAAACTGGAGAAAGTTGAACATAGAATCCAAACTAATCAGACAATGCTGGGACAGGAGGGAAAGGAACCACAATCAACATGATAAATATACTTTAAAATGTGCATATAAAACTAAGGTTTGCTACTGTCAGATACTAAGGTACCTGTGTGAATTCACATGTACAACTCATCTTTCCCATACTAAGCAAGCTGTTAAATTGCCATTTCAAAACAGGTGGGCACTGCAGAGAGAACACAAGACACTGTCGTTGACTCCAGATGAAAGCCAGGAACAACATCAAGACTTTTTAATAAGACAAGTCTGATTTATTTAAATAGCACTTAAATGAGAATCAATGCCTCTACCATCTTATTCTTTATCCCTCTTACATTCTCATTAATGCCAGTCACTTCCCAGCCACCACAGCTTTGTGACCAAGGCCATCTACTGGTGAGTGGGGCGTGAGAATTAATGGGGTTTTTGTTGGCCAGATTTAAATAGTGCTTCTCAAGATTTAAACACATGCATTGAAATTGTGCCAAGCAGCTGTTTACAGTTGAGCAGTGTCAGTAATTAGTAAACATGACCACAGTTTCAGATGAACATAGGCTTCCCCAACTCCATGTGAACCTAAAGAAATATTATTTCACCCAGGGGAGAAGAATGTGGTACTGTGAATCTCCAGCCCCCGTTCAAGTGTAGTGCAGACACCTTGTGACCTCACTGTTCTGTGTAACATGAATCAGAAGTGTCTGTGTTGCTACTAGAGACAGGAATTTTAACGTAAAAATCACTACCAAACCTGGTAACACTGTTTTCAAGAATTACTGGAGTCTGAATGAAGAAGTTTGCAGGCTGAAACTGCAAGTATTTTACATCAGCATATATGGGGATTTACAGGCTGTACACAATTGTACTTGTCCTCCTGACTTAAAGCAGCAGAAATGGAAGTCAGGCAATAAGATAGAAAGGAAATAAAGCACACTCAAATCCTTACACACTTTGATTTTTAAGGTGATATCTGAGACAAATCAGCAAGAGAATCTGGGAGTATCAGCATGCTGTGACACAGAGATCCCCACATTGTTCCAGTGTTCTTTGTTCAGTATAATTATTGATAAATCACGAAGATGTTTCTAATAAAACACTTCCTTTAGCTCCTTTTTAGAATTTTTAAGTTAACACGTTAGTATTATGGTTTTTAGAGTATGAATGGCAGCACTGGAAAACCCCAAATTACAAGACAATATTCTCTTCCATCTTTGTCTTAGATCAAGATGAAGCAAACTTAACCCTTTACTCATCCTTTTTGCCATGAGAATTGGGACAACCTTTATACTATATAGAAATGTATTCACTAGGAGCTAGCTTGAAGACACTGAATAAATTTCTTATCTTAGATAATAGGAGGTTTGGGTGGATATTTTTGGCTGGCAACGTAGAAGCCAGAAGTTCCTGTTTTGCCTGAGCAAGCGACACGGAAGAAAAATATTTCCACAAGAGAAAACATGGATGTCATAAGATGACAAACACCCTTCACCAACTTTCACTTTCAGTATGATTAATTGCTATGACAATCAGATTTATGACAGAGAATGTATGGATGGCAGATAAAAAGGAGTTAAAGCTTCCTCTAAACTTCAATGTCCTCTTCTTTAAGATGTACATTTGCCCAGTCCTTCCAAGTTGGGTTTGGGGTTATTTTTGGTTTTGTTTTGGTTTTTTTTGTGAGTGGGTAGTGTTTTTTTCTGAAGCCAATATTAGATTGTAAATCCAGTTTAACAACACCACTTTTATTCACTGTGGAAGCAAACCACTTTCCAGTACAGTATGCTTAATAATTCATGTGCCTTTCCAATTTATTTATGGTGCAGTAAGGTCATGGGTAATTCTGCATCTGATGGAGATTTGGTCTCCAGGATAATTTTTTAAAATTAAGATTAAAGGGGGAAAAAAAGCACAAACATACAACAGACACCCTCCCAAACCTGTAAGACAAACACAACTTTGAAAGAATAAAATAGTGCATGTAAATTTCCAACGACATATCTTTTTCCAGCAAAACTCTTTTATCAATTTGGAACATGTGCATATCAACTAAAACTTTTATAGCAAAGAAAAAATTTTTTTCATTATTAGTCATAAAGAAGGGTCTACTCTGCCTTTGCTTAGAAAAATGGAGCACTCACTAGTAAAAGGGCAATCTCTCATCAGTCATGACAAAGACTTATTTTTATATATCCAATCAAATAAAAAAGATACTAATAAAATAATCCAAATTAAAATAATGCTAATATCTAGCATTTCTAGATAGAACTCTGTTACTTTAATGTGAAAGCAGACACTCCTGAATATAAACATGGCTTCACTGGCTTTTGTCTTCTTCTACTCCATAATAATGACTTCTTTTAGAAGTGCACCTACACACTTCACTATTGTTCTACTTATTTCTCCTGTTGCTATGTTAAATATGGCTGATTGCAGCTTCTTGTGGCACAACATTCAGTGGCCAAACTGGACATGCTACCGTTGAGCATCACTCCTGCAAATGGCCCACAGAATAATAAACATTTTTCACTTTGCCTCAAACTTTTCCATACATAATTTTGTTTTACCCCTGAAGACAAGGCTCTCTGTCATCACTGAACTTTGTCCAGGGGACGAATAACTAATTCTCCATTATAAGGACAGGCTGCTGCTGCTAAGGCAGAGCAAAATACCATAATATTTTGCCAAGATTTGACATAAAAACTTGTTGATAAGCTCTAAACATTCTTCTCATTATATCACTGCATCAAAAGAGCTGAACTACTTATACTTTTCAATCACAACTACTGTGAATCACAGTGATTATACTTACTTTACATTTTCAAAACACTGCATGAATCTCTACAACACACTTGGGTAGAAAGTGAGCTTTATCTTTAAAGTTGAGATAGGCGATAAAAAAAGCCTGTTATGATGATCTACTGTTGATATGCATATAAAAATCTTAAGCTACTGACACCAGGGATCTCATGTTCCAGAAACAGAGAATCTGAGAATTGGGAAATTGTTAAGCTGCAACATCTGATTTTAACTATTTGCTCATTTCTTCAACAAGCATTTCAAACAGAGGACTTAACTTAGTTTCACTGTTAGTTCCCCTTTTAAATTCATGTTTTCGACTTATTTTTCTTTAATGAACATCTAAACATGGATTTGCCTGTATGTGATCGAATTGAAAGGAATGTTGTTTTTATTTTTCAAAATACATGTACATATATCTTTAACGCATTTTCCCAGTGCAGTGCTAAAAGTTTTATCTTACTCTAATCCTGTACCAAATACTGATAATGGCTCTAACTTTCTTAATCTCAAATATATTCAAAAGCAAGATTACCTCAAAAGGAACTGTTCAGGCTAGACAATCTAAGAAGTCCATCTACCTCTATTTCATCTTGCATATTATTCATTCATCTATTGTACATATATTGTACAGTCCCTAGGGAAAAAAGAAACATATGAAAATAACTCAGAAGGGCCACCAGCCATGCAAGTGTTGTTTATCTTCAAGTAGTAAAATTTCTTCTCAGAATGTAATAAGTCAACATACCCGTAATACCGGCCTGCATGAAACTGCACTGTGCAAATGCCTTGGATGAGCATTAGTACCAATTAACTTGTAGTAGCCTGTTCCAGGGAAAAGGCTTTATTGTAATGCTGCAGCATAGTGTAAGTTTTGGAAACAATTCTGGGAAATCAAACATACAAAATTCATCCCTCTTTTGGAGGAGATGCAGGAAGGGAAAAAAGAGACCAAAAAAAGTCTGATATTTGTTACATCAGAACCTTTACAGTGGTACACAAAAAGACTCCAGGAGGCATTTATTCTAATAGCCTTGGATGTTCAATCCGTGTAATTGTCCAGTCTGGTTTTGCTCCTTCTGTAAATTCCCTTTGGAATCTGGAAAAAGAAAGACAGTAAGTGTTGTTAAAATGGACTTGATCCTTACAGAGCTACTAACACCACCAAGAAGTCATGAAGAAATATTTTACTTCAAAGTTATTCCTGTAAGAGCTCATTAGACTCTGATGCTTATGGCCCAAAATAGAAGATCAACGTTAATTCTACAGTAAGAAACAAAGGGCACTGACTTGAGAGTGTTTTGGTTTGGATTTCACAGACAGGATCAAGCAGCAACAGTAAAGGCCCTGATATCAAGTCAGCACTCAGCTTTCATAGCAGTAACTAAATCTCTAAATAAAGGGTTTCATTTAATGGGATGGTAACTGCACCGTAGAGAGAAATCACATGCGATGTACTGTACCTGAAAATTTTCATTTTTACTGAACTATACTTTAATTTAAAGAAGTATATTTTCAGAAATACATCAAAAATCAAGCTAACAGTAGTACTAAATCTTCCTGAAAGAAAATTCCGCAGCTGTTGACAGGAAAATTAAAACACCCATCCCTATTTTCAAAGTATCTTCCTCTTCCTTTTCTAGTCATTAATGCCTTCCTCCCTGACCACGTCAGTTTTGACTGCTTGTCATCTAAAGATAAGTCTTCAAGCTGAAGACTGAGCTTCAAGCTGAATATTCATGCTCCAAAGTAACCTGTATATTGTGGAGAAGAGCAGTATAACCTCACTGCTTTGCAATTACATGCAAATCCACTCCCAGAAACTGTCTTCTCCAGACACCCAAATACTTAACACTAAGCTTCTAAGGCCTGTAGTATCTTTGCTCATTTGACTTTAGGTTACCACTGCAAATAGCAGAAGGAATGCATACTTGCAAAGATTTTTCTCCTGGGGATTACAAATAGATATTTAGGGTTTTCAGGGGAGGTTCTTGAGGTTAATGGAGCCTGAGAAGCCTCCACCTCTAAAAACCATGCTGAATTTGGCTAAGGGATGGATCCATAAAAACCCATCCAGGCAAAAAGCACTGGTGTCTCTCAGGTTGTTTCCTTTGTTTCAGAGCCCCATATCATCTAGACACCACAGTCTATCCATTTCAAACATGAGTATAGAAGTGATTGATTACATTGCATTTCTCTCACAAAAATCCTCATTTTTTCCAACTTCTGCAAATACTATTTTCAGTACATTTTGCTAACTGTGCAGATATTTCTGCATTACTCTGAGATCAGTACACTAATACAGACACTATTTACAAGCATTTCTGTGAATATTCATCTACCTCATATGTGCTTTGAAGGCTTGGATCAGTGGCATGAATTACTGAACAGAAGGCATTTGTCTAAAAAATTTCCTCTTTCATGAGCTACTTTTTCAGCTAGTTGCAGTTCTGATTTTTATACAGGAAGTGACAAGTCAACAGCACCACACTTGGCTGTTTGGCTTGACTGCATTGCTGTTAGCTGTGCTACAAGAAATGGGAAACAAGGGCCAATATTAGCCTATTTCCTGAAAGCTGCAGGAGTATAGAAGAAGATCAGAAACCTCATTCAATGCTCCAGCTACTGCTCTTCGTGACAGAGAAAGAGTTCTCATTAATCCCTACTTATAAGCAAGATAATAATATAATGACTTTAAGGGGTATTTAAAAAATTTGACCCTAGAATAAAAACTGGAAAGCTGGATGAGAACTAACTTATACTGGAATCAAGGTAAATTAAAACATACTAAGTTCTGCACTGGCACAGTGTGAATGCTTTCAGTTTCCAAAAAAAACCAAAAGACAAGTAAACTTACTCATAGTTTGCTGTTAAAAGATGTCTTTTTTCTTTTGTGCTTTCATCTCCAAACACAATCTGGAAAACTTTGGTTTCACCCGGTACTTCATCAGGTAGGTTGGCACCATTCAGATACCAGAAGCGCATCAGGATACTAACAAACTTTCTTCCTGTTGGAAATAAATCAAAGCATAAGGAAGATATTATTTTTCTCATTGGTCAAATACTCCTACTTGCTATCTAGCATATATTCTAGTGAGACCCTGGAAGGGCAACTGACTTCAGCCATAAAGAATGCATGATAGAATAATGAACAATAAAGCTATTTAAAGCCATACTCATGCTGTTTAGCAACAATAAAAAACACTCTGTAGAAAGGCATGTATTTTATCATGAGTGTTGTATGACAATGTACATAATCAAATCGTATGAAAAAAAGCTGTCTACCACAAAGTCCAAGGCCAACTAGTGATAATACAAAAGTATGTAGAGTAGTTGAAACTCAGGAGTAAACTAAGAGAAAAAAAAAATCCCTAACCCCCAAAACAAGAAAAAAGATCACTGGGTCTGACAATCTGAAATGCTCATTAGAAGACCCATGGTTAGACAATAAACCATCTCAACTGTGTCTGACAGTGGATTGAGCACATAATGCTGGTATTTAACCAAAAGAAAAACTTGTTGGAGCTCAAAAAAATAAAGAAGTCCTAGAACAAAGTGCATTCCATAAAAGCAGAATAGAAGCAAAGACAACAAAATTTATTTCATTATCCAGCTTTCACTATTCTTCTTGGAAGATATATTTTCATTGCTGAAGCAACAGTTTTCTGCATGTAGAAGAATAATAGTTTTTGTGTGGTTTGAGATTGCTAAGGACTAATAACGTAAAAATCTGAAATTACAATGAGCAAGACCTAAACAGAAGTCAAAACAGTAGTGTGACTTATTGACAATAATCTCTCAAGTTCTGGTTTAAACGGAAATCAGGGAACTATATATAGAAGAACTATAAGCAGAAGAAAAAGGAATGCAAAACTACTTAAAAATACAACTGTAAGGAGAATGCCTGCTTAGGAGCAAAACCAGGAAATAAGGCTGCCCACTGCTGAAATGTTTTAGAATTCCAAACATACCGTCATCATCATAGTAAATGCGAACATCTCCTTCTGTTGTGTACATGATTGCATCAATGTCAGCTGCTAAAGCATCCCTGTGGTTGTCAGGGAGCAAAGAAATCTTTTCCTTCAGCACCTGAAGTACCTAAAATCAGAAAAACTGAAAGATTTTCATTAGGAAATTGAGTAACAACCTTTTCTACTGCAGTTAATAAAACGAGCTATTTCACTAAAACATTTGTGTAACATGTACAACAGCAGAAGTGAAAAAGCAATGGGAAGTTTGGGCACTTATAAGCCCTAATTCAGCGATATTAAAGATGATCCATTTAACAGTCAAATCAATGAAAAGAAAGTATGTTGAAAAATGTTTAGAAACAGTACTGTCAAAAGAGAAGTTGCAAAGCATAGCACGTAAGCCCAGAAAATACCAGGTAAGCTTGCTTCCACAATCATACTTACACTCTGCCTTCTCACTGCTGATTTCCTGCTATGTGTATATTCCTTAGCTTTTGATTCAATTATTTCTTAGTTATCTTTTACAAATTTATTCGAAAATAAGTTCCATTACCACTAAGTTTATCTGTGCCATTTTGTGATCCATATTTCCACTAGAAGAAGTTTACACATAATCAGAAAAGACTGAAAAATCATTGCCCTGAGACTTTAGTCCCATATCACATTGACATCTAGTATTCAAGTGTCCTAAGACCTACACAGCTGTGTTAAGTAGAAAAAGGGTGTGGTGCACAAACTGAACAGAGGCATCACCTCAAACACCACATGAGAAAGACATGTCACAAGGAAGGATGAAGTGTGCAGCATTTATTTTTAACTCATACTCAGTTTTTAGGCTAACTTGAATTGCCATTTTGAGTAACAAACAAATCCAGAGGTCACATGGAAGCAAGACGTGACCTTCACTAGAAGATGTTGGTTTCTAGTACATTTTGCAGGTATAAAATTCACCGACCAAAGCAACAACAAAACAGTGTGGTATCACAGTCTCAGCCACTAAATGCTCTGGCTATATGAAGCCTCTGGATCAATATTAACCCTATCACCTGAAGAATTTAAGATGAGCAGAGGAAGAGGAGATGCTCTTTCAAAACAACTATAAGAAATAAACTCACATTTTATTGCTATTTCTGCTCAAAGATAGCAGGCAAGATTGTCCAGTGGGGATGCACTAGAACAGCACCAAAATTTTTGCTGCAAAGACATGGGTGGTAATAGGGCAGGCCAAGCTGACATCCAGTAACAAGGCATAGACCTGAAGTATCTCCTCCACTTGACTCTGATGCATCTGCTACCTCCGTCCCCTGGGAAGGCCAAGACAACTTCAGCAATCAAAAATTAATAAAAACACAGAACACACAGCACTGATGTTTAACTAGCCAGGTCAGCCATATCCCTGAGATCATGACACAAGACCAAGGCCTTCCAGCTGAGACCAGTAACTGTCTGCATGATCTGCTCAGGGCTGGGAATGTATTAGTGCAGCAGGGATGAGCATAAACTAGTTCCTTTCTTCATCAGAATTCTGGTGCACACACCAAAAGCATCAGCAATCGGCCTACACCAACAGACAGAGGTATGCAATTCCCCTGGCCATCCAGAACCCAGAGCCTTTCAATCCTTTCTGGTATACCAGCAATCATTTTGGCAGTTGGCCCTTATGTTCAATGACACGAAATTTTTTTTTCTTTAAATACAGTAACTTTAAATTAAGTTTCATGCTGTGAAATTAAACATAAAAAAGCTGCAAGACAAACAATTGTCCACATTATGCTATTTTTTCCAATTAAACCCAACTGGCAGTATTTGTAGATAATGACAGGCTGAATGCATGTTACTTCTTAATGGAAAATCAATTACTAGAATAAGAGATGGAAAGCATTTACCTCTGCTGATACAAGTTCATCCAGCAGGTCAAGTTTCCGCTGAGATAGCAGCTTTGAAACCACAGAAAAAGCCTACCAAAAAAAAAAAAAAATTAAATGTTTGAAGAGCATATCACCATTGAAATGTAAGCCCTCCAGCGTTAAAAGAGTGATTCCATGAACTGATAAAAACATAAGGTTTCAATTTCTCACTTAAAGCATCATAACTTTTGGTAACAGGCAAGTGAATGCAGAGGTTACAGAAAAAAAAGCATTACAGTAATCTATATAAGTTGTTTTTACTCTCTTCTTGATAATTCAAACAGTCCATGTCTTTCCCTGTAAACACTGACCACATTTGTGGCCAATAGGACAGGGTCTAGCTGCAGGCCTGTGTCTAGTGGGGTCCCTCAGGGGTCGGTACTGGGACCAGTACTATTCAATATATTCATCAGTGACCTGGATGAGGGAGCAGAGTGCACTGTCAGCAAGTTTGCTGATGACACAAAGCTGGGAGGAGTGGCTGACACGCCAGAGGCTGTGCTGCCATCCAGCGAGACCTGGACAGGCTGGAGAGCTGGGCAGGGAAAAATTTAATGAAATATAATAAGGGCAAGTGTAGAGTCTTCCATCTGGGAAAGAACAACCCCATGTACCAGTACAGGTTGGGGACAGACCAGCGAGAGTTAGAGACCAGTTAGACCAGTTAGAGAGCAGCGTAGGGGAAATGGACCTGGGG